TTATCCAACATCAGCGTGAATTCTTTACCTATAACAAAAGCTGCAACACGAATCTTCTCTCCTCCGATTTTCAACATGCTCGAGACGCACATTTTTCTCAAAAAGTTTAAGTTTGGGAGAATAAAAAAAAAGTATCTTTTTTTTCGTACAGAGAAAATCTGAGTGAAATTAGTTTCGCTAAATGCGGAACCATTTCATCAATTCTCCATATCCCAGATAGATCTCGCGCGCGGTAATAATATCCGCAATTAGAAACGTCACGCGAGTGATTCATGCGATCGTATATACATACACGCGCGTAACGCTCTCACACGTACGCGACTAATCTTCGGCCGGTTACGCGGTTTCGTCCGATGAACGTAGATTGGATAGCGGGCCATCATTTACCCGGAAACACACACGGCGCAGGAGCGCGCCGCTGCGGTACGCGCCCGTACACCGTGACAATTATTAGGATGGCAATTACGGTGGCGGCGGCGATACATGCGCGAGGCAGCTACCTACCTACGTTTTGCACACACATACCCACGCGAGCGCGGCGCGCATACATCCCGCGTGCACCCAGAGCGAGAAAATCTACCCGAATACCAGGAAACAGACTCAGGTGCGCTGCGCCGGCCGGTATTGAATTTATAATTCCATTAGGGACCGCGCCGCTCCCCGATCATTTTCGCGTCTTCGCCTTTCACGGCACCGACCGCCACGTGCCGCCGCCGCCGCCGCCGTGCCGATCGAACCGGTCGTTTAGCATCTCGCACTATTTTCGACCTCGCTGCGCAAGTAGAATTTGAAAATTCCACGTCTCTCCGCTGCTCCCGGTTGACTCCTTCTTTCGAACTCGATTAAAAACGTAATTTTAATTCACGTAAAAAGAGACAACTGTCTAAAAACAACTTATTATTATTATTTTATATTATTATGTTCTACAGTCATACTTTTTAAAAACAATATTGCCGATTACATGGTTTCTTTTATTTCTCTTCTATCCGTTCTTCTATCAGTTATGCGTAAAAAGTCTGTAGTTTCCATAAAATAACAATCTTCTAATGCTTTCTGTATTTTACGCTTTTGATATTTTAATTGAAGAATCTGTTCTCAAATCATTTTGTTATTAACACGTAATATCCCAAGTTTTTGACGATACGTATTTTAGACAGTTTGGAAATAAACTTCTTCGTTTCCGGGCAATCGGGATACAAAAGGATTATAGGAAATAAATTAGAGACCAAGGGGATAAATGAGATCGATGGCAGTCGAACCGATATACCGTCGCGCTTCTAACAAGCACGCGAACGCAATCCCCGCGTCCAGGGGGGATGAAACGGGGGCAAAGCGAGAGGGAACGAGTTTTTCCCGCGGGCGGGATTACGTCTATCCTGTATACGTTACACGTGAACCAGATATGTCGATCCGATCTCCCCGCCGGAGTCGGAAGAGAACGAAGGAACGGCCGCGAAGTGGATTCGAAAATTGAAAATCATTGCGGCTCCTGATCCCCTTAGTTTCGCCAGACAACCTCAATAAATTCTTCGCTCGCCCTCGCCGCCCGTGGCTTTATTCTTTATAAGGCGTTATATCGGGGGAGGATCCAAGGAGGGTCTCTCCTCCCTTCGGCTCTCTCCACCCGCGTCCTCCTCTTTGTCCGGCGGGTTGAACCTTTGCATCTCTCATTTTAACGATGCATACGTTATTACCGTCGCAAATTGCGTAAACGTTAATGTAATTTATACCATTCAAGTTTTATCGAGAAGAGTGGTTGTATCGCTTCATTTTTTACTTATGCCGAGATAAATGATAGAACCGTACATTAAGACAGAGAATACTAAGCTAAAGAGGTCGAGCATCGATGAATAAAACAATAGAAGAGAAATATATGTTATCCATTGAAAGCTTGCAAGAAACTTTTCTCCCTTTTTTTTTTATTTTAGAGCTTTAATCACGTTAAAACGTTTTCTTTTGAGAGGGAATAAGAGAGTCTGCGGAAAAGTTAAGAAAGATACTGGAGAGCTTTTAAGATGAAAATTGGAACATCAATTTTTTAATATTCTTCTTCGTCTGTTAAAAAATAATAGAAGTATGTGATTAAGTTGTTCAGCATATTAAAAGCAAACGTAGAAGAGATCCATCGACGTAATCTGAATTATTATTATCATATTTGTTATTTTACAATTAGCGCGCAACATTTCTCGATAATCAGAGATGCCGAGGAACGTCATTAGCGCGGAACTTTAATATCACGGGTGGCCCGAAGCGAAAGATCGAGCCGTCTAATAAACAATTGTCTTCGTTCGCGGCGTCACGCGCGCAAAGTGGCCTTATTTTTCCCCTAATTCCATCAGACTGAAAGTGGCGACGCGGCGGCGCGGCGAAGCCCAAGAAGAGTAGAGACAGACACTCGACGGTAGCATAGAGCTGCTGCTGCTGCTGGTGCCTCTGCCTCTGCCTCTGCTACTGCTGCCGCCCCTGCTGCTGTTGCTGCTGCCGAGTCCTGGAGCGCCACGTTTCTCAGCGGCTTTGACATGCAAATTGCCTGACAATGAATTTCGTAAAACCTTTTACCGCGGAGTGCGCGCTTCGGGGGTGGCGCAGGGGCGAGACGGGACGAGAGAGAGGTGAAACGGAGCACGCCCTCTTGTGCACGACCCTACGCATACATCGGCGGGGGTAGGGGGAGGAGAGAGGGATGGCACGGGAGAGAGACGCCAGACGACGTCGCGGTATTAATCACTGTCTACCGGCGTCAGGCAGCTTCAACCATCTTCTCTCTGTTAAGCGTGAATCTCGTGATGCTCGAAAATCAGTTACTCGTGCCCGATTAAAACGAACCCTCCCTCCCCCCAGGCGCGCGGTCGGATTGAGATTGATCCCGGTATCGCGCAGCGAAATGTCATTTTATCAGAGATACCGATTATAAAGAAAAAAAAAGGAATAAATCTTAATCTGTTGTACTGTGTGCTTAACTGCATAGTTTTCATTTAATATCGAAGACTGTGAACTCAATTTCAAGATTGCGCGAAGTAATAGAATATTATTTGCGGTCGTCCTAATTAACTATTCCATGCTGATTCCGATATTTAAATAAAATGAAAAGGGGGCGTCTCTTCTTTTCCATATATATATATATATATATATATATTAGGATCTATTATTTTCTTTTGTCAAATATTTTTTGAACATATCGTTCGATCGATCTGTTCCCGCACGCGATAGGGATTCAATTTTATTCGCTTTCCTTCCTCGATAAAATATCACAACGAATCTTCGCAGGAACCGTCTTTCGCGTCAACAGCTATTTTATTCGCATGGCCGCGAAGATCGTGTTCGCCGTAAAAGAGATACTCCGCGCGCGTTGTCTGAATTGTAAAAGGACCACTAAGCGGTAGCGCGGGGAGAAGGAAAGACGGAGTATCCGCAAAATCCGCCCATCCCGTTCCGGCGAGTTACGAGGAAGGAACGTATCGGGATAGGGTACGAGGGACGGGGGGAGGGGGAGGGATCAATCGGATTTTTCTGCGAAACGCCAGTCCGCTCTCTCCGCGCGCACAATGACGCGAGAGCGTCGGTACCGGCTCGTTGAATCCCGGCTAGCCGCGTAATGGGTATCGAGAGACATCGTTAAGCGTCGATCGCCTCTCCCAAAGTGGCCCGGCGCCTTGATTCACCCTCCCCTGTCCTCCTGACCTTCCTCACCCGCCGCTTTCTCTGTCTCGTCTTTCTATCTCGCGCCACCACTGGGCAAGGGTGCTGTAAGACTATGTCGGTGCGCGTTGGCTATAGATCGCGATGGAATCCGCGGAGGTGGTAGTGAAGGGGGATAAGGAGGGAAGGAGGAAGTGAGGAAGGAGCCAAGAGCGAGAGACGGTGCGGAGGCGGAGAAGGGAGAGGAGGTTAAGGAAGGTAGATGCGCGGAGGCGGAGAGGAATGGGGGATAAACCATGATGTCGTTGATTAATACGGTTTACCAGTAAGTGTAACGGAGTGTGCAGAACACGCGCGTCCGCCACCCTCTTGCGCGTCCCCTCCCCCCTTTCCCCGCAGCGGCCGCTCTTCCGTCTTCCAGCGGGGCGGCTGCTGCCTTTCCTCTCTCTATCCACCATCCCCGTCTCCTTCGCCATCGCCACCACCACCTCCGTCGCCGCCGCCGCGGAAGCAGAAGAGCTGCCCTCCCTTCCACCCCCGGCGGAATTCGTTGCACCAACCGGGAGCCACGTGCCGATCAATGGCGTCTTGCCGCTGGTTGGTCGAGCCGGGAACAACCCCCTCGCTCGCTTCTCCGTCTCGCCCTCCCGCGCCACCGCCATCCTCTCTCATCTCCTTCCTCCACCGCTACCTTCTCCTATACCCCTCCGCGTGCTTTCTCTCCTTTCTTTTTACTCTGCGAGAAGACTCGGCATGTACCCTCGAGGAGGGTTGATCCCATAAGAGAGGGCGAGCTTTTCTTATGAGGAGCATTGATTGCCAACACCCCCCCTCCGCCCTCCGCCGTCCTCCTCTCGCCCCTTGCCGCTACCTTCGCTGACTCGCGCCCCTTTACCTTCTTTCGCCCTTCTACCGCGATTCGCTTCCACTTCCGCGAGGGCCGCGTCTTTTCTCTCTCTCTCTCTCTCTCTCTCTCTTCTTCTCTCGCGCCGTTGCATTATTTCTTCCACTTCCTGTGTTTTTACTTGGTTTCTACTCGGCGGGTCGGTCCTCGGCTGTTCTCAGTTATGGCACAATTATTTGTCTATACGGGATCGAAGGAGAGCGCTTCTTGATGCTCCGATGCCATTGGCGGACGCGAGGATGGGGAACTTATTGCGCCGAGATCGAATCGCGGAGCGATATCCGCGATATGCAATCTTGCGGTAACGTGCTACAGCGGCAAAATAAGTTACGGAATCGGAATTTCGGGACGGAAAATCGGACGGATGGAGCGAGATGCCGGGATAACTGAGTTCGGATACCCTTACGGGAGCCCACGTATATGGGGAGGATACGGCTAAAATAATTATGCGAACGAATGATTTATATACATCAGGATTCATCACATGAGAGAACAAGTTTATTTGATATATCGCTACCACAGTTCTACACAGTTAATCCGCTACCTTATACTATACTTCTCATTAGGCTATCTTTGATTAGCACTGACTATTTATCGGGAGGTAATATACAGGTCTCTACAAACAACTACGTCCGTTTCGCTTCTACGCTTTCCTTTCGCTTCGCGAAAATCCAGTGGGATTACGACATAAATGGAATTATCGTTATCTCGTCGAATTTATCGCGTAATTATCAAACCAAATCCGTTCCGTGATCATTCCGCCTTCTCTTCTGCTCGTTCCTTGATCCTTGCGCCAAAACGACGGATTTTATTTGATGAATTACGATACTCGCAAACGTAGCAAAGATCTGAAATCGGTTAATATTGCCGGGCGATCGACGAATTTTTTTTTTTATAAGGCATATAAGAGTAGTAGCCAACTCGAAACGAGTTTCTTCGCTTTACCTATAGCCGGGGATTAAAACCCACATAATCTCCGTAAGATTAATTAAATTCAATCCAAGACGTTTTCTCTTTTTCTGACAGAGCAGTATCGAAATCTGAACCGAGATTACATCGGTTTCAACTCCCGCACGTAGGAATTTTACGATGAATGCACTCGAGCCTGTCCGCGTGGCTTGAACGAATCGACTGGTCGAGTATGTCGAGCAATTGAATATACAGCGCATCAGGCACGTGTTGGTCCGTCGCGTCTTCTTACTCGCGTGGAAAGAAACGAAACCATCCGTAAACACTTTGCTACACAGTCTCCGCACAAGTCGTTCTCGTCCTTGTTCTCGCCGCTCGCGTGCGCGCGCGCATTTGTTCTCATTATGTACAATACAAACGTATCGCGACGCGTATTAGCCATTCCAAATTCAGAAAGTCAGTCAGAAATCTGGCTCCCTCCTCTCGCAGAATTTTTTTTAAATGATCCTCGCTATCATTAACGGATTCGCCAAACTTGTTACGATACACCTGGAACTCAACGATTTTCATACGTTGTAGATAGTGAATAGTGGCGATACAAACTATGTCTGGGTCGCAAGTTAGGGCAATAAATAAAATATAAGTTTCTGCATAATATGGAGATTTTAGAAGCTATTGCTGATTACATATGTGAGAAAAAGTTTTATGTGTCTGAGAATACTACGGAAGATTATTGTAATGCACCCCCGCCTATTTACATCGCTCGCGGATATAACAAAGTAATCTGCAAATTGATAGTGCTGCATTATTCAACGGTTTATTGCATATGCAATGAGTATTAATGGTATCTTGTTTGTTTTCCATTTTTATTAAAATCCAAAAACGATAGAGAGCCGATAAACATCGGGAGTAATCACAAACAATCAATTGGTAACTTTTAAAGAGAGAGAAGCGCAAATTAAACGGCACTTTATAGAAAACTTTGCAAAATCGATCCCGTCTTGTATTATATAACTAAAAATAAAGTTGTTTGTCAAATTTGTCGTAAATGGAAATTTCTTCTAAAAATCCAACGCGTGTTGTGTGAGCTAAAATAAGTTTTTATCAGGATTGCACAAGTTCTTAACAGAATTTGCGCCATGTTTATTTTAACAAGTCGCAATCGAAGACAATATGAATATACAGTTTGCAGTGTTTGCACGAGCCGCCTTACCGATTCAAAGTTATCACCTCGTAGCATTGTGGTTCGTTAATTCTTCGTCGTTTTCCGGAATTGGGACCCTTAAACTCGCCTGAACTATCACAACGTCGAAACTCAGAAAAGACTTTTTTTTCGTTTAAAAAAATACGAGAAGATTAAAATGCAATTATAATAAGGAAAGCACTTACACAAAGATTGGCGGTGTAACATCGATGAGTTCAATTTTCGACGCTGTACTCTCGAAGAATTTAAATCATTATTAACTCAATGAAATCAACAACTTAGAGGGACTAAATTTCGTTAAATCTAATTTTGAAAGACTACTTCTCCCGGTAGTATTTACTTCAAAGAAGTTAGAAAAATAATTCTCCTTATATGAAAAAACACAGAAACATATAACATTCTATATAAATATATTTATAACATCCTATACAACATTCTTCAGCTTCTACATAGCATCGAGATCCGAACTCACCGAGATTGCTATATCGCTGTCTAGCTTCGACTTTGCGACCGTCCGATACGCGTGGAATATCCTTTTGCGATTTATATCTCGCGTCTACGAGACGATTTCGGCATTCGTAGAGGCGATCCTAGGGATCTTCCTTGGTGGTGGGTTGTATTTGATGCACCACGCCAGGCAGGTGATGATGGTGGTGATGCTCCGGCCGCCTGGAGAGACCCAACAGGGGCGGCAGCAGCGGCAAGTGCAGAGGCAGGGGTAACCCTCCGGGGAAGCCGGCGAGGCCGCCGAGGAGAGCCGAGGCGGTCGAGTGTTCCTGAGCTTTCCTCCGGAGCTCGGCCAGACTGTTACTTCGATGGAGATCGGTGGCGCCGGTGCCGGCGGCGCCGGGTTTGCAACAGCCGCAAATTGAACCGGGCCAGCCGGTCGGCGACCAAGACAACATTTCCTGAAGGCTGCTCGGCCGATGCTGGTCGCTGGTGGTCCACAACGATGGCGTCGTCGAGGTCAGCGATGTCGACGCGCTGCTGACGACTTTGTTACCGAAGAGCGGTGGCGAGAACTGGGCGGCCAGGTGAGGCGAGAAGAAGATGGACGTCGGCGGTTCCACCGGCCTGAAGCCCGCGCCTATCCCCGTGGTACTGAAAGTTCGACGAGAGGGAAAAATGAATATAAATGGAACATAAAAACATAAAAGGACATAAAGGTAGCGTTAAGAACACGTAATATACGAAACATACGACAAAGTACAAATTTAATTTTTAAATTTAAAAGCGGTTTCGAGTCGAATGCGCTTCTCTCGTGTTTAATATTAGAATCGCTGACTGGATGAATTTTTAAACCTGGCAAGAATAGGAATAATTTTCCACCACATTGAAATGTTCTCGTTTTATTATCGAAAGTCATATACTTCAATGGGGAATTTAATGCAAAAATGTAATGGAGTTTGATTAAACATTTCGATGTAAGAGTTTAATTTTTTTTTTTTAAGATAGAACAAAGCGATCTCGTTCTCGACTGATATTTTAAAAATGCGATATACCTTTTGTTTTAAAGTGACAAAAGTATATTATTCCGTCTTTCTTATTTCGTAATTTCTTAAAGTAACGACAATAGCACAATTGACGCGCACTGATACACGTAGACACAGAAACATCTCAATCGTCACGCCGGAAACGATCCTTAACTCGTCCGCGAATTAACGCTATTTCAAGCGGTGCGATTATCGCCAAAAGGACGTCGCAATTTCGCGCGGTTCCAACTACCGGCGTATCAGCGTAGCGAAAGCAAGAGACAGACAGGCAGACGCGAATGAAGTGCGAGAGAAAGACGGAAACCGAGAACGGATGGGGTAGGGAGAGAGAGAGAGAGAAAGAGAGAAGGAGCCGCAGCCTCACAAGCGCTAATCCGATTAGCACGCGCGATGTTCCGCATCCTCCGAGAGGAGCGGAGGCTGCTTTGAGGCGCTGATGATTATCTCAAATATTAATCGCAAATATTGTTTAATTAATGTAACGAGCTCGAGTCGGTACTCGAGTCGGAGCCGAGATCAGGGAGAGGGGGAGGAGGGAAGGAGGAGGATAGGATGGCGGAGGACGCGTGGGGGCGGGCAGGAGTTAGGGCAGGCAGCCCACGGCATTTAGGTCGTTAGTGGGGTGTGCGGGGCGACGGGGGTAGGAAAGACGCAGTTCGTCGGCAGGCCAGAGTAACGGATTTCAGGTGGTTGCCTGGGGGGAGGGGTTGAATCGGGGAAGAGGGAAAGGGGAAAGGAAAGGGGTGGTAAACCGCGACGCGCGCGGGGGCGACGGCGACGGCGACGTCGGCGGCGAGAGGAAGAGCCGAACCGCGGTAAGCGCGATAATTAGCGGCAATTAGCCGCGTAGTCTACCGTGCGCCTTGCTTACGTGCGCTCGTTTACTTGCCGCGCGCGCGCGCGCGCGTACACACATGCAAATGCATACGTGCACACCGGTGCCGCGCGCTGACGTGATGGACGAAGCGCGACTTAGTATATCCTCCTATGTTATCGACGCGTTTGCCTCGGCACTGAGTTACGGTGTCGAGTTACGGTGTACGAGGGGTGACGGCTGAAACGCAGATTACCTCTCGCAGAAACGACGTAAGATTAGCATCCGCGTGCCCCTTTGGGACGCAAAAAATTATTGCGAGAAAAAAAAGAAACGCTAATCATTTTTAAGAGAAAACAATGATAACTTAAGATAGAATGAGATTTTTAGACAATCAATTTTGCATTAATTTTACTATATTCTCTATTTATAAAATCAAACATGGACATTATCAATTACGACTGTGATATTATTCGGCTATAAAAACAAATTGTATATATACGAGCTGCATATTAAATGCAAATTTAAATTCTTATATCTTTCTATATAAGTGGAAAACATCAAAGTTTCGATAATTTAAAATATTTTTTTCTATTTTCATTATCGAGCCCGTTATTCAGTCGAACACGTGTGATCACTTTAGTTATTTTATTTAATATTTTATGTGCTCCATTTTACTTATCTAGTTTTTGTATCCTATAATCGCTTCTAGATGAGTAACGACGTCGATAACTGCGATATTACCTAGACGAGGTCGCGTTTCCCGCGTAATAAGACTCCATTAAAATCTTTATTTAAAATTCAATAACATTAAACGCTTTCAGCTCCGCCGGTAGCGAATATAGCGTGGGAGTTAAAGCGAGTAATAAAAGTGATAGGGCACGATTCCGAGACGAATGTATTATCGTGATATCGTTTACACACATTGCAATTAACTAGTTTTTAAAATACAAATTTTAATGGATAGAGTGACGAACTCTTTTGCATTCGTATTACGACCACCTCAGCTGAGTCGATCTTTCGATTCGGAAGGGTTGCGTCGTTTTATCAGTCGAATACCAGGTGCAATTTCTGAAACAAAGTACCTGCTTCGCACCGGGCTAACAAGAGTAACGCGTAATCAATTCTTACGCAACCTCCTAAGAGAATCGCGAGACAAAAGAGCGATCTGGCGACGAGACAACGTCTTTGCGACGCGGATCCGCCCCTATACAGTAGCACGAAGTCAGTCGCTCTTAAAGTAGCTAGGTAGAACTAAGGTAAGAAGGAACGCAGAGCTTACACCCTCCTCTCCCCCGTCCTCCGCCCCCTTCGCCCGCGACCCCCGGCAGGAGCTTCGCCGTTCCTCTGAATAAATGATGGGGATATATTTACGGCGAGCGGTTTTAAATAAATTACAACTGCGGGGACGACGAAGGAGTATCTTCCTGCCGTTTCTTCTTTACCTTTTCCCTCGACCTCGGTACCAGTCCCACCGTCCCCCCTTGAACCCTCCCGTCTACGCTCTTCGTCGTTCTTGTCGACATCTAACGTGCCCTCCTCTCGCAAGTATTACGCGTATCTGCTATACGCGTGTGTTTTTCGGCATTTTTTGTTCCCGGCCTCCACGTCGATCCGCAGAGAGAGAGAGAGAGAGAGAGGGAGAGCCCACCGTCGTCGTCTCGGGGATTATAAACGAATGCTCCGTCCCCGCGGAAAGAGAGAATCGCGAGCGGGATAAATCGCCCCTTTTCGATTCTTCGGACTCGTGCTCCGGCTCCCTTATGCACGCGGCCGATGAAACGCGTCTCTCGTAGAAATATTTTATGTGGTACAAATATTTTTCTATATTTTCTGTGCCCACACTTACATCGAACTCTCCTTTATAATATCTCAAACATTGATAAAATAAATAGATATTTATACAAACAGATATTTTCGTAGAACATAAGAAGAGAGATATCAAAATGCGTTTTATCATGGAAAATTGTTTTATTTATTTATTTATAAGTAAATTATTACCTATGGCATTTATAGAATATTTATGTAAAATCATGTAAGTCCATAGACGAAAGAAACATATGACGTTGCTCTTCCATATAATGCGAAATTATATATTAATGTGACTGGCAATTTGCACATTTGCAAAAGTCAATAATTTCGAAACACTTTAATCCGTTTGCTGCCGGTACTACCGCGAAATATTTCCGCGAAAAACCGTCGCCAGCTCTTTAACCTTTTTATCCGTTGCAAACTCTTTAGCTCGTCGTCTCGACGTTTCTTTCCGTTGACATGCGGAGTCGTAAACGCGAGACGCCATTTAGTTTCACGAGACAAAAGTCCAGAGCGAAAAGCGGTGCGTAACGCCTCGCCACCCCCGCCACTATCGCCGTCGCTGACTCCCGTGGAAGCTGCAGTTTAACGAGGCGACGATTATCGCGATTATACGAGTGGCTATATGATGACGACGCGCGGGAGAGGTGAAGGGGGAGCGCTGCCGGGAGAAGAAGCGGCTTAACCGGTGGCAGCGTCGGGGGCAGCGATGCCGTCACGTAGAGTGGTTTAATGGCGCGTATCGAGCATCCGGCCGGCGATGTTCAGCGGCGCTTGCACCCACTTATTCGTTGAAATCGTCCGAGAGTTTATAAGGGGTTGGGGAGGGAGGTAGAGAGAGGAGCTCAGGAAGGAGGAGGAAGATATTTCCTAAAGACGTAAATACAAACGAAGCTAAGAGCTCACCTCTCGGCGGGTGGTCCGAGGCCCCCCACGGTGCTCGGTGGCGGCGGCGGCGCCCTTATGGGGGTTGGCGGTGGCGTCGAGACGCCACCCAGGGACGGCTGACTTGGCTGGGGCCGGGGACTGACCGAGGCGGAAGTCGTGCTGGGGCTCCTGGAGCCGCCGCCGCCGCCACCGCCCCCGGTCCCCTCTGCCACGGCGTCCTCCGTGTCGGCAGCGCTGCTGCTCGTCGTGGTGCCCTCCGGATCGTTCCCCGTGGGACTCGGGCCCGCCGACGAGGACGTCGGCGCGGCCAAAGCGGAAGATTCTATGTTACCGCTGCCGCCGCCACCGCCACTACTCCCGTTTCCACCCTCGCGTTTGCGTTGCTCCTCCTTCAGTCGTTCACTCTTACGCCATTTCGCCCGCCGATTTTGGAACCATACCTGAAAATTACGATCGCCGCCGTTAAAATAGATTAACCTTATGCTTAAGCTTCAAGGAATCGATAGTGGTAAGTGGAAAGCGTAACTTTGATGCAGAAGTTTCTGCTTTATAAGTAAAGTTACTGAATTAACTTTTTTTTTAAATGAGTCGATAAATTCTTTTTACACAAAAAATATATTGCTAATATTCAGTTCGTCGTTAATTGATACATAAATGTAGAAGAAATATACATTCAAATCTGTTACATTATCTGTTACACACTCACCCCCTAATATAACAACTTTTGCCCCGCGCTTTTATTTTGTGTCTTTAATATATGTTTTATGTCTTCCGTAATACAATTTTAGGATTACACTAAATATGAATAAATATATCATATCGCGATATACGTGCATCCAGGGAAGTTAAACTTCTCAAAAGCCAACTTCGCGGAAATTTGCATAATTCTCTGATTCAATTCTCGACATCTCAGTCATCTGACTGTACCGCGCGCGCGGACGAGAGGGTTAAGTCGCGCGAAAGTCACAGAAACGACGGACGAGAGGCAGACGGGTGATGGAGAAAAATGAGACGGACGGTCGTACCTACGGCACTCCGCAACGTCCGCAAATGTGCAAGGATAATTGCATGCGCGGGGGAGATGGCATTCTGAGGCAGAGAAAAGCACGAGGGTGCGGCAGGTTGGTTGGGCGAATGTGTGGGGGGAGGGGAGGGGGTCGTTGTGGGAGGCCGGGGGCACTTTCCGTCGTGCATGTTCAACGAGCCGACAGCAACCACGGCGGCCGAGTGTTTTTTAAAAAGCTCGAGTTCCGCTAACGAGGCTAACTTGACATAATACCGGCTGAAATAGACTTTATTACACCCAGCGGTTCTCCGCCGCTGACTTTTGTCCCGACAATGGGTGTACGATAACTTGGTACTGGCGCGGAATCCTCATTCGGCGTGCCGGATACGCCAACTAGTAAGTAAAACGTTATTTGCAATCATAGCTATGTTTTATAGGACGTAAAAATTAGTTGATTCGAAAAATTCGTTGCCCAGAAAATATCCGATGTGCCATATAAAGTGATATTGCGTTGAAAAATATAGCGTAAATCTCATTGGACAACTGCACGGTTTTCGAGGAAAATTATTTTGAAAGGGAAAGATTGTGCAAAATATATTTAAGAAAAGAACAGACTACGGATTTCACAAAAAATAGTCCTTAGTAGGAAGAGCTGAAATAGGATTGGCACATCCTATCCTGTGTAATGGGTCTGGAAAATGATTATCTTACATTCGAGCGCGGAACTTTCGCAAGAGGAAGCTCGGAAAATGGTTTAATAAAATAAATACGATGGGCACGACTCTTCACCGCCACCTCGAGCATCGTGGGAGGATGGAGGATAGGGCGGCAGCCGGGGAGATATAATAATATCCTAAGGGTTACGGGGGGGAGGAGGGGCGAATAATAGCTGGGAACAAAAGCCATGGTTCCGTAGGGATCACCGTCGTTTTCTCTTCCACCCTCGCGCGATATTTCCTCTCTCCACTTTTTTTTCAATACAAATTTAATCTGAAATTCGTTGATAATGGGCGTAAAATGTTTTTAATCGGCCGCACCCTCGTTAAACGAATGTGCAATGTCGCTCTTTGTCGCGGGATTACCGATCGCACGTATCATTGTGATACGCTTTTTAAAACGGTGACAACGATAACTACTGATTAATTCACGGAAAGCTGTTTTTTCAACAGCTTGTAAATTGAAAAATGTTTGCTCTTTAATAAATTCACGTTTACAAAAATTTCCTTCTCGTTCCTCACTTCTCGAACGCAATTCGTGGATTCAAATAATTTCGTCAAAACTGTCGTACACAGATAGAGATACTAATATTTTCATACTGATTCATACTGATAAACTACTTTTCTCGAGGCACTCGATCCGCGGTTCGTAAAAATGTTCTGCATTTTATAACTCCAAAGTAGCGTAGATAACCACGTGAAGAGAAGTGAAGAGTTTCGCGAAATCCAATCGCCGAAAATAGAAGAGCCAATGTAATCGGCGGTGCCCAGCATCCCCGGTCCAGGGATCGCGTCGCGTCGCACGAGCGCAGGTGCGAGCGGCGTTTGACGCGGCGCGGTGCGGCGCGTCTAATTCACGCACGCCGGTAATTGCCGCCTCGCACATGCGTGCACGTACGTGTGCGAGCAAACGTTACGCACACACGTACACGCGTTGCGTGTGCGAGGAGATATATATACGCACGCCCGCCGTATGTGACGAGATGTCGTGTGGTACGTGCCTCGACGATACAATGGACCCTCCTTCAACCCTCCCCCGCCCGTCGCCCCTCTAGGAGGTTCTAATTGGAGCCTGGAGAAGAGGACGGGCGCTACGTAAACGCGCCTATTTGTCCATTATTCCAGATTCCCTTTGTCTTCGCTAATGAAACAATGAGTCTGCGCCGTAATTGCGTCACAGTCAGACCAACCGCCTCTCTCTCTCCCCCTCTGTTCCTCATCCGCCTCCCTTCTGTCTCTTTCATTGTCATGTGCACACACCGTCGTCTCTCTCGTAAAGATTGCAGCCTCCTCGGCTTCGTAAATCCGCACAATGCACGCCAGGCTGCCTCTTAGACTTTGTGATCGAGGATCCTTCGCGAGTCAGGATATTAATGACGGAAGGGCGAAAGCGCCGAGATACAATTAACTCTTTCGGGTTTGTCAGAACACACGAGCTATGTTCTACACTATGTGTAATTATAAAAAAAAAAAAACATTGCGTGAAATAATTATAGTAGAAAATCGAATTGATAGTGTTACAAATACAGCAGGAGTTTTGATTATCGAGGTATATTTGAGTTGGAAATTGCGAAAGCTGTCAAAAGGTATCGTCCGAAACTCAACGGAGATGCATGTTGGCGTCTGCCGAGAAATCAAAAGCCCGCCATTGGTAATCAGATATCCTCTGCAGATGTTCCGACAGGATTTTAGGCTGGAATCGCTGTTACGCTGCAGGGATTCTCAGCGCGAATTACCGCGGCGTGAGTAAATATGGCCGTGAGGACGTAGCCGGGAGTACAAAGTAATCCCGGAGATTACCGGCTTACTCTGTCAGAAGATTACGTCAGGTCGAGGGTGTCAGCGCGCCTCTTGGGGGTCCAGGGCTCCCCCTCCGTCCTCCCATTCTGCCCGATTCGCCCCTCTGTACACATACGCTCTCGCTTTTGCGGCAACATACCGTACCCAGCCGCAGACAATCGATCATAATCGCGAACTTTTACAGATTTTCTTTTTAATTTTCAATCAGTTACTGAAGCCCCAAAACATTTTCATCCTGCGACTAAATCTCGCGTGTTTCCCGTCGCGTAACATCATGCATAAAATATACGACGCGTTATTTTTCGTACGATAAATTATAAATATGGCAAATTTTTAAAACTCGGGAGTGGCAAAGGACAAAAATCGATAAAAAAAAAATTGTCGAAATTTCGCTTTGAATCGCGGAAATCCGGTTTACGCATATTTTTCGCGATATAATCATTTGGATACTAATGGATACGTAGGCGGGTAATATACATTCTATTGTGCGCTCCCTGTGCGGAAATATTACGCGAAAAACGTAAAGCGCGAAAAATGTTCTCGGAATTTCTCTACTTAGCGCTCTACGAAGGCGGACAAAAAATTACCGGGTTGCCGCGCGTAATTTTCTCATCGCATTAAAACGCGGAATCCAATCTCAATGCGCTGAGACGCATTAAAAGATTAAGCTCGCTGCTGCCAATGCTTGGGACGCGAGCATGCGAACATTCTGTGAAGTTTTAATGCACGTGCTTTCATGTTATCGAATAAACGTGATTATACAACGTGATTAGCATACTTTCAAGTAACCTGTTTTAATATATCTTTAAATATAATGCACAGTGCTTCTGCCATAAATTTATTCGTCTCCCTTATTCTAATGGATTCTTCTTTTTTTTTTATAATTTTCACCGGATTATAGACATTATTACATTACGTGCAGCAAGATACTTTATGAGAACTGAGAAAATAAAAGTGAACAAAGTAAATAATTATGTTAATGATAATTCAGCAACGCACCCGGCTGCTTTTTGTGTACTTGAAAAATATTCATAATCCGAAAAAAGAATCTAATTCAGGTTGTAGGATCGCGAGACTTTATGGGATAGTTGTAGGACAATTGGATTGAAAAGTTCGGCGGTGAAAGAGAGATCTCCACGTGTATCATTATCATGCTCACCTGCACTCTAGCCTCCGTGAGATTAATCTTCATGGCCAGATCTTCCCTCGTGAAGACGTCCGGATAGTGAGTCTGCGCGAAGGCGGACTCGAGTTCCTCCAGTTGCTGGAGGGTGAAAGTTGTCCTGTTTCGGCGCTGCTTCCTCCGCACGAAGGAATCCTCGCCAACTCCGTGCAGTGCTGGGTGATAGGCGGAGTAACTAGTATCTGTAACAAATCCGGAGAGTACTGCAAAGCAGTTGTTTATTTCGTATACGTTTGTAGAATATCGCTTCTGTAATTCCTAATTGCTAATTTGCGCGAATTTCGTTTTCCACGCGAGGATCTCGAAACACAGTTAGTGTCGATGAAACAAGTGATAACGACTACACGAGTCGAGCGATAGTAAATCGATATAGGTACTAATAAATATCAAAAATATTTCGAATTCATTTTTATTTTAATTATATAATTATATAGCGTTAATAGTTTAATTATGTAACACGTTTTTATAATTAATGTTAATGATACGTGTTGCGACGATATAAAGAAAGTATTTTCACTTCAGAGGGACGAGTTCGACGAAGTTTCGCCTTTTAATTCTTGATAGATTCGAATTTGCGAAGTTCCAGGAGAACTTAGTTCGGTACTCCGCATATTTGCCTGTGCTTGACTAGGGTTTGCGAAACTCGGTAACTTCAAGAAACTTGTGAGTTACTGACAATCTCGCGGAATTTTCAAATTTATACGGCAAGCGTTATTGCAAAATAAAATGATCAACATAATTTCGTGCTTTTTCGCAGGGAATTTGGGATAGTTTACATTATTGCTTATTAATGCAAGTTGTTGTACCATTGGATAATAGAAGAGCCGTACACGGTAAACGTAAATTAATTCAATTTAATTGAATTCAATTTAGCAAGCGTATAATAATTGAATTCTTCGTATCGAAACATCTTTCTCAACGTCTTTCTGCCGTTCGGAACTATTAATATAGAAATTCGGATATTTCATCAGAAAGGTCATAGTATGATCATTTCATATTCGATTTGACATTTCAACAGAAATTTATTAATACGTAATTATATTGCTTCTGCGTATTATTTTGGTACGACCCCAGCACGCGTATTTTGTCTCGCCGTTGCAATTACGCGAGCAGACATCAGGGCGCATATTAATTAAAAATGTTCAGGGAAACGTGGTTAACTGTGATCGCGCGCGCGCGCGCGCACACGAAGGATCGAAAAGTGTAGCGCCGATATAAAGGCATCGGTCGGGATACACGCGCATACAACGAGACGCGAAGTGGGAGCAGACGTTACGAAGCGCGGCCGGAACCGCTCATCAATGATGCAGAGCAATCAGCGCAATTAATTACCGCGGCGCTAAGCCCCGGCTTAGCGAAAAACACAAATTAATTTCCTAAGCTCATAAAAATTCATGCCACTCTCTCTCCGGCCGTCTCTCTTTCGCTCGCGCACAATGTCTCCTCTTCCTCCTCTCTTTTACCCTCTTCCCTTTATGTCTCTCTTTTGCTCTTTCTCTCTTTCTCTTTCTCTCTCCCTTTCATCCTTTCGACACAGAGGATGATAACGGCGATAGAAGGAGAGAGAAAGCGAGATAGGGATAACGACGCATGATGGTGTTGCGCCATCAACGGTTGCAGAGCCACATGGTTGCATCCACAGGGGCGCATCGAGATGCTTCGCCCCGATGCCGCTGAAGTTTCATAACTGTCACGGACGCGCAATTATATGCTACGGTCGCCGCGATCTCCCGTAACGTTTGCAAGATTAATATCAATGAGGATCCGCGAGGATTTTCGCTCTAAACCACGCACGCGAAAATAAACGATTCGGGCTTTCCGGACCGTCGGTATTTTATCAGGGCGTTTAACGACGTTGCGGGCTCGCGGATGCACTTAAAACTTTGTTTCCGCTCGCGCTCCCGTCTGCATGATTATCGTGCCCGATACGGATTTGTTGTAATATACGAACGGTGTTGCGCTTGTTTGTCGCGTAATTTCCTGGAGAATCGCCGTTTCCAATCAAGAAACGACAATTATATAATACATATGATCCGATAATATAATTTTGCTCGGCATATTTTGCACGCATGTGTGCAATCTTTTAAACGACACTATTTGATTGTAAAAGATAGAAGAGAAGTTCTTTCGTGCGTAATGTCGAATTGACGAACCACGAAGCTCTGTACAGTCATCTTGCGAAGTATACACCGTAATGCAAAAAAAATGTTTCCCCATTCTCGGTGTATCGATAAGCAACGACCGTCGTTGTTGCCGCGGCTGCAAAGAAAATGAAGATAGAGAAGCGAATCGGGTGACGACCGCGGTGGCTAAATAAATTTGCCGGTGCCCCAAACTGAAATCCACTCAAGATCTTAGATTAGAGTCGGTCCGAAGTAAAGCCCGGATCCAGACAACTCGTACAACTCATCGGGAGTCGGTCTGATCCAATTTATTAGTAGTATCCCGAGTACAGAGGAGAAAGAGCGAACGAGAGAAAGGGGGGGGAGGAGGAGAGAGAAAGACCTGGCGACTTTTGCACTCGGGACGCACGTGCAACTCCTTTTCGCGACACGCTTCGTTGTTGTTGATTTTGCCTACAGAGAACGTGAAGGAAACGATCAATTTTTCGCGTAAGGAAAGCACGGGACATCATTAATTCACGCATTTTTTACAAGAAGCAAAACCTCATATCTTTTCTGGATAAGATTTAATAAACTCTTAATGTCTAGAAATCATTGCATAAGATTGCTGGATTTCATTCCCTACGTGTAGCTTTTATTTTTTTACTTATTTAAATTTTTTAGCATAACATATATGACATGGATATTTGCACGTGTAATCAGCTCTTTTATAAATTAATTTAAAATAAGCTGAAATATATATAAAAGGATTTCAATATATGTAAAGATAAATCAAAGATGTAAAAATCAGGCTCCTTTAAACAGAGCTTCGTCTTCGAGAAGAGATCGAGTTAGACTCAAAATTTAATTCTGAAACTTAATTCTAATTTTATTTGCTCCGTCTACGTTGACTTTGTATTTTTACATGCGTAGGCGAGCAATTCAAAATTATTCCAAACGCGCGTCACGATCCTCCATGATCGCCCGTATCCGTTGCACTTGCGGACTGCAGGTCTCGAAGGCACCCAGAGAAGAAGGGGGAGACCGGTGGTGGACCCGTGGAAAAACTACACGTAGAGAACGAAATCTAATGACACCCCGACCGTTACTAATGACGCTAACGAGGTAGTTAGATGTTAGAGCGAATGTCGGTGGGTCTGGACCGTGGGCCGAGGGAACCCACTTACCGACTTATCACGTAGTTACCTAATCTGTTTATCCCAACGGGGGGTAGAGGAGGCCAGAGAGAGAGAGAGAAAGAGAGAGAGAACGGAGAGATAGAGAGCTACGAGCCAGCGGGGACCGGGGGAGACAGACGAGGGGGCAATCGGGAGCTGGAAGGGTGCCCGGACGTCCCTGAGGACACCCGTTCCCCCGGACCCCCAATTCCCCCCTGTCTACCTCGACGCCCTGTTCGATCATCTACCGGAGAGAGACCGCTGCGCCTCCCACATTTATGAGCCTCAATGGGTATTGTGTTTTAAAGAGAATATAGAGAATAGGGCGCGCGTCACACTTCCCACGTTCTTGGATTTGCTAATAGCGATTTGGGCACAGAGTGAAATAAATGGTAATGATTTTTGGGATATTTATGTATATTTTATGACAGCATAAAATTGATAGAATATAGCGAAAATTGATTTTTGATCAAACTCCCTTCGCTGCTTTTGTTAGATTTGCTCGGATGTCAAAGTCAGAATTGTAATATATGATACTGCATCATTGAGCTAAAACAAATACTATATTCCTACGAATAATGTGTGTTGATAATAAAAAAAATAATTAAAACAATATATAAGAGGACGAGAAAAAATCTCTTCTTGTTAGTATATAAATTTTTGATAACACATATAGCGCTATTTTTATCGAAATTACAAGTCGCTCCGTATAATCATAAAGTCGTAATTAATAATAATTTATAAGGCCTGATATTGTATTTCGTCGTGATTAAAAATGAAATTTTCGAAATCAGATACTTTCCGTTTCAGTGAAAACCGGAATTAGCGAAATAAATTTTGCAAGCATAATTCGATAACGATAAATCACCATCGCTGGCCGGCCGGAGACATGTCGAGAGAACATCAGGTTGCTTGACAGATCGCGCTGAAATTCGTCATCGGGAATGGGACGCGACTTGGAAAACGATCGGTGAATAGGCAAACTGTCGTCAAAGTTCTGGGTAGTGACTCGGCTCGACTGCCGGCGGGACGCGGTTTAACTGGAAGTTGGCTCGAAGTGCAAATTAAGTTTAGCGGCCGTCCAGTTTGTAGCGTCCACTTTGCGTAACTCGGTCTAGTCGGTAATGTAACTTCATCGATGTGTTCCGCTAGAGCAAGTGCCAGTACAATCAGTCTGCTCCCCCTCACCTTCCCCCAAGCCTCTTTCCTTGCTGTATACCCGGTGTCTCTTTCTGTCTCGATTACGCTGTTCTCTCCATCATGTTTTCTTCCCAGGATTTGTTTTCGTGTTTCTTCCTTCGCCTCTTTCGTGAAAATAATCTCAATAACGTAGAAATCTTTTAACAATTTATCATTTATGTGAAAGTGAAGAAGTTGAAAGAGAAAAATGATCGATTATTTGTATATTGATTCGATTTACGTATATAAATATCTAGACACTTCTCTCCATCTTTATATTATTTGTCCCTAAAGTTTTACGTGAAAGTTTTACATATAATTTTACATAATTTTACATAATTTTACATAATTTTTCGAAAGATTGCTGTTCGAAACTGCCTCCTTGTTTTCCTTACTCGGCGCATAAATCTAAAAATTTCCCTGTAACATTTTACAGCGATTTCGCACGGTATGCCTTTCGCGATCGAAAGTCGACGAGGGGGCGAGTCGCGAGGTAAAAAAGAAGAAGATATCGCGTGTGTGCGCGCGCCCGCAGCAGAAGAAATCGAATTTTTACTTACAGGGGTGAGTCGGGGCGAAAGGATACTCCAGGGATGGTGGTAATCGCGGCGCTGGGAGGCCCGGGGGGCAGTGGTAGCAGAACATGCCTCCGGCCCTGGCCACGCCGCCCCCCGGCCCGCCGGCCCCTCCCGCGCCAGCACCCGACACCTGCGGTTGACTCGACGGCTGTTGTTGCTGTTGCTGCTGTTGCTGGTGGTGGTTATTGTTCGGCTGGTGGGCGTGGACCGCGCCAATCTGCAACCACCCGTCAGTGTCAGTTGATTTCATGATCTCTTCCGTGGTAAAAAAAAGAGAGAGAGAGAGAGAGGAAGATCGCCGCACAATCGGAGGTTCAAGCGAGCTTTTTTTCCCCACAATTGCTCCCTTTTACGTCACGAAATAATATTTTCAGGAATGCGCTTCAATTTAAACGTTACTCCTGCTTATCTTAATAGATCGCTAGGATAGAGTTCTTTGCCTTCAGTGGGGTTTATTAAAATTTAAATATTAGATCCAAGGAAGAAATAGGTAATTTTCGATTTGTACTGCCTTAAATAAGGCTGTTGTTAGATCACGATTGTGAAGAATTATTGACAAACTCTCCTTTCCTAAAATAAGTTAAAATATAAAAGGAATTTAATATAAAAAGACCAATGAAAGATGTGTAAAAATCAAACTCCTTTATACAGAGCTTCGTCTTCGAGAAGAGATCGAGTTAGGCTCAAATTTAATTCTGAAACTTAACTCCAGTTTCACTTGCTCTGTCTACATTGAGTTGATAAAAATTCTAAACATTTGAAATTAAAAAATGGACACGTCTCTAATCGTCTTATGTCATGCCCACCCTTCCATCCGGTCAGATTTTTCTGGACTCGCCGGGGGAGTATCGCGATGGCCCTCGAAAAGCGCAGCATCGGGAGCCACTTCCGATTTCGCCGTGCGACGCGCGGATTTTCGAAAGCGGGGTGAAACATGATTAAGAGGGAGCGCGACAGCGGCGTGCTGCAGCGGGGTGGGCGGTTATACGAGGGGGGCAAGCGGGATGCTGGGGAGGGCAAGGGCGCGGAGGGGAACGGATGGGTGGCCGATTACGCCAATCCCCATTAGAGGGATTGTAAACTCGCGTAAATAAATAATGTATATATCGGCGAGAGAGGAGCGCTGCACGCGGGATGAGAGAGAGAGAGAGAGAGAGGGAGAGAGAGAGAGAGAAGCGGCGCGACGCGTAGAGGGCTCTTTGCCTAAGCAGGCATCGGTCGTGGAACTTAATAAACGGCGGAGTTATCAATTTATAATGGGTCGGCATGTCGCGCATGCGCGTGCCTACGGGGCCCCGCCGTTTCTCTCTCGTTATATAACGGCGTGCACGCGAGTGGCTTTAGAGAACCGGTGTACACTAACTATACCCCCGGTCCCCCTCATCACCAACGACCACCCTCCCGCCCCCGGCCGCCCGCGCCCGCCGTTAGCCCCCCTCCCGTTATCTCTATGCGGCTGTTTATCTCGCTCGCTCCATCACGGCGTCTCCCCTTCATCTCTCGCTTCTCCCTTTATCCGCCACTGCTGCACTGTCTCTCCTCCTCTCTTTGCGGCTCTCCGGTACGAAGGGACAAATTGAATTTTAGATCATGGCGTGTTCCTGTGGGGTCCGCGAATAGAGAGGGACAGAGGGAAAGAGAGAGAGAGAGAGAGAGAGAGAAGGGGAGAGAGAAGCGCAGAGGCGGACGTCGAGATGATACTAATTGAAATTTGAAATTGATATTAGCGAATTATTACCCCTCTCCCGTCGTTCTGCTTGGCCCAACGCAATTACGGCCGCGTGTCGGGTATCAAAAGTAATTGCTGCCAAACTTAACAAAATTCGAGCAATTCTCGTTTCGGCCGTCTGACCTCCGGCGAAAACGACGCGTCGACTGTAGTCAGTCCCTTCCCTGATACATATACGCTCATACGTACTGCTACGGAATATACTTTTAACGTGATACCAAATCGTGTTAGTTGTCCGCGCTAGTAGGTTCCCAATAAAAGCAGACACTATTGACGCATCCAGCTCAAAATCAGTTAAATAAAGCGCGCCCTTCAATGCTCAATTTCAAACAGTTTCATTATTTTTTCGTCTTAATTTGGCAAATTTTAGATATTTAGATACCGGAAGTATATTACAAAAAATTAAATCATTGGAAGGAACGGCCAATTATGAGCCGAGCGTCATAATTCGCTCGACTCATAATTATTTTACTGGAGCTTCTACTTCGATTTAATTAAATTATTATTTACATATGTAGTATAAATATATTTTTTTCAGTTACTATTCGTGATTATATATTAATGGAATAAAGCATATTTCTCGTCGAATCTGGGACTCTAAAAATTAAAGAAGATATATATTTCTTATCTTAAAAAAATCCTGGGTACTTTATACTATCTATATTTTATATGTGTATATAATACATATATAATTATATACTATTAAATATATAATATATACATTATGTATCTATATATAGCGCTCGTATATAATGAATAAGTACCAAATCCTGTAAAGAACGTGTGCCAATATGTTTGAAAAAATTATAAACATTTCATCAAAAGTACCCGACAATTAATGGCGAACAACTAACCGATTTATCGCAATACCAATAGCTCGAGGAAACAATCGCGATCTGTTCATTCTTCGTGCCCCATAAATTCGTCCGCTGTGGGTGGCGGTGCTATTGGTTTTGCGTTTGCCGAGAGTTAGAGGCATAATGACGGGACATACGCACCGACAGAAGGGACGAAATGTAGCGAGGCTAATCCGCGAGGGGGAACATGGGGCCCGCGGGTGTCCCCGCGGCACGCGATGGAACCTCGCGGGGGCTTGCGCTCGCCGATCTCACCCTCGCTATAGCGCCCTGGCATACGCGTCTTTCTCTCGCCCCCCCCCTTCCCACCTCGTCTCTTCTCACCCCGCGCGAAATAGGGTCGGCATGTGGTCCTAGAGTGTATTTGCGGTGTTCAACCAGCCGGGCGAAATATTATGCCAGTGTTTTATTGTGCGATCATCCCGACGGCGGTGCCCCACTGCGCGCGAGGGCGAAGGGATTGCGGCTACGAGTGTTGCGGTGAGTGTTTACACGTTGGCACACGCTGTCGGATTTGTTACACGCTCGTTATGCGAGGCGCGTTTGCGTTTACCGGAGCCGATTTTGAAGGAGGCTACAACGGCATTTAGAATGAAGAGAGTAGAATGGAGAACTCTTGCGCTGGCCCCCTCACTAATTGGTCGCTGTAACACGATATTATTCTGAAATTCCATTACATAAATATTTAATGAGTTGCAGTTTAGAACATCGCGAAAGGCACGAATCAAACATTACGTAAGGTAGGCTCCAGATTAATTAAAAACTGCAGACGAAAGCAGCTGATTCAAGACACGCGATAAATTAATAGTCCAATTTGCGTATGTATTTGTGTTGGAGCATTAAACGCACGTCATCCGGGGAATAATCTTACGAGTTAGTATCGTTCGTGATAATATATAATGCGTTAATGAAAGTTAAACCGGATAGGGGCGTATCGCGCTTTAGGGGTGAACAAAGACACGGTTCGGTGTGCCGCGCGCCGAGTGGGTGTCGGATAGCCGGGTGTTTAGATTCCGCGCGTATAACACTGCGCGCTCATTAGAGCGCGGCGCTAATTGCATAATTGGTGCCGGCAATTACGAGCAAAGCGGTGCCGCATCGGGGCTCGTCGACAGCGGTGGCGGCGGCGGCGGCGGCGGCGGTCGGTGACGTCAACATCCAATAATTCGGCACGCGACGACAATCGCACGCTTCCACCGCGCCATTGCGCAAATAGCGGGAATCGCAATTAAAAGCGATAATTCTGTAATTAGCTTCCCGTCGGCGTCGGGTTCTCTTTCCTCTTCCCGCTTCCATGCCAACGCGAACGCGAGAGACACTCGGTCTGCACGCAATCAAATATTCAGGGATGCTTGATTCTAATAGAATTTTAAACACTGTTACTCAGTTAGTGTCAAGTAAAACAAATGTACGTATTCTTTTCTCCGAAAGGCTGATACTTTGCATAACGACGCTGTTGCTCGCTGTAATAAATCAAGCATAAAATCTTTTGCACTAACACAACAGTGTACATAATATTAAAAGATATTTCTGGCCAAGCCGGTAATAGTAAAAAAAATATAATGTCATGCAGCAATAAATTTTAAATTATTACTTTCGTGATAGTTAAACGACGGACGAACACAGAATAACTCGACAAATAATATTTTTCAGATTTTTTATTATTTTATAAAAAATAATTCGGAGGAAGACAGCGTGGCATATTCACGAAAGTAAGTAAACTTCAGTTTCCGCGAAAATAGCGCTAACTAATATGTTGTTCCGTGCAGTTGCTCGTTCTCTTTTTTCTCGAACCGAGAAACGGCGGATGATGGTATCAATGCAACATCGTGCGCATCATTGTGCATCGCGTGCGACGCGGCTGGCCGAGCGGCCGAGCAGCCGCGCGAGAAATTCGTGGAGCATGGCTGCAACAATTGACGTCGCAAGTTACGTCGGAAAACTCGCCGGCGAAGAGTCTCTCTCTCTCTCTCTCTCTCTCTCTCTCTCTCTCGCGATTAACGAAGATTTCATTAGGGACAATATTGCGGTGGCATCGGCGGCGCTCGTTGACCGGCGAGCGACGCGGGTCCCGGGTTTCTTTATTGGCCGGTCTCGGGGAATAAATTGGAGGGAATTAATTAAGCGGCACAAATTGGATGCAGCGCGTTAGCCCTTATTCGTGGATGACACAATTTAATAAGTATCTTCTAACGTGAACCGAGAGGCGTGGAGAAAGAGAACCGCGGGCTCCGCTCCGGCCCGTGGGCCCTTCAAAACGAACGAGAGCATGCGGGACGGAGATGTCGTTGAAGAGATGATGGATGTCATCATCAAAATTATGATGCGACATTAACATATTTAATAAGATTTAATACGAAGCGACTAGAGTCGAAATTCTTGTAATCTTAATTATACAATAACGTATACAATGTATGTCTATACAAAAAAAAACATATTGGAAAGATAATTTGCAAAGTATAGTATGTCTATATAAATATAGTTTGTATATATAAAATTGAACTAAAATATTTATTTGGCAGTTTATTACACGACTCAGTTGTTGTGCAAAGTTCGCAAAGTGTTCTCGTGCTGAAAGATGTAGAAAAGCGTGTATTATCTTGCTCATCTTCTTCTCTCTCTCTCTTTCGT